GCTGGCTCTACAAGGAAAAAATACCTGATTTGTAGCATTCACTGATTTCCATAGCTGAATAGTAAGAACAGCTTGATAAGCTCAAAAACTTAGATGAGATGGAAAAATTCCACAAAAGGCAAAAGTGACTAAAACTGAGTCATAAAGTTTTAGTTTTGAACTAAAAACTCTTCTCCAGAGAAAGCAGAAACCCTGAGAACTTTATATCTAATAAAAAAAATTGAATTCACAATTAAATCTTCTCATGAGAAAACTTACAAGTCCAGATAGCTCCCCTAGAGAAGCCTATCACTTTATACGCAACTAATGGGTCACTGAGCACTACACTAAAAACTGATGATGTACTGTATGTTGGCTCATTGAATTTAAATTAAAATAATTACCCCAAAGATACAGATGTAGTGAAAAGAAGGGGCACATGCACCCCAGTATTCATAGCAGCAATGTCCACAATAGCAAAGCTGTGGAAGGAGATGAGATGTCCTTGAACAAGTGAACGGATAAAGAAGATGTGGTTCATATATACAATAGAATATTACTCAGCCATCAGAAAGGATGAATACCTACCATTTGCATCGATGCTAAGCATCGGCCTACAACTTATTGGTCCCTGGAAGAAATGCTTTTTTCTTTCTTTCAGGGGAGATGAGGAAAGTTAGAGAGTGGGAACCAGACGGCAAGAGGAGATTGGGGATTTTCGGGGATTTTAAAGCTTAAAATGAATTGTGTGAAGGAAAGGGGTTTTGTTATGTTATGCTTTCCTTTTGACACACTGTCTCTATTTTTATAAAGGTGGTATGTGGAAACCTTCTAGAAGGGGTTATTTAGGACTCAAAGAAATAGGTGATGGCCCAAAACACATCTATACAAATTTGTGCCATATCTCATTGCCATGGGTTTCTCGGTTCTGAGAAAGGACTCATACTAGCTCAGGGATCTGAGGAAATATCTCACATTCACCAAAGTCAAGAGTGAAGAATCCTTAAGTCATCATCATAATAAATCACCCAAATCACAAACCACAAACATTTTTTTTTTCTAAAAAGCAGGAAATGGAGCATCTACACCAGGAAACACAACAAGAAAGAAAACAGAAACTCCCCGAAAGAAACCAAGCGTGAACTGCCATGTGCAATGAAATAAATCTTGCCAGATGACCCCACATACTCATACAGCCTCACAATTCGAGTTTTCATAGTAAAACACAAAATGGAACTGACCCTGAAATGTGGCCAACAACTTCAGCCTTTCCTCCCCACCACCCGCAGGAAGATCCTGAAACAGATGCTATGAAATTCAGCCTGATCTTCATCCCATATGCTGGTTCTCAAGAGGGAGCAACAGGGAGATTTTCCTCTTCTCATGAACACATCCTCAGGTGGGAAACTTTGCCCCATGTCTTCCCTCCAGCAAGGCTACTAAATTTAGTTCTGCTGGGAAATTATCATGTGGTTTCATTCATATGTGGAACATAAGGAATAGCAAGGAGGACCACAGAGGAAGGGAGGGAAAATTGAAGGGGAAGAAATCAGAGAGGGAGACAAATCATGAAAGAATCTGGGATACGGAAACCAAACTGAGGGTTAGAGAAGGGAGAGGGATGTGGGGTGGGGTAACTGGGTGATGGGTATTAAGGAGGGCACATGTGGTGATGAGCACTGGGTGTTATATGCAACTAATGAATCGTTGAACACTACATCAAAAACTAATGATGTACTGTATATTGGCTAACAGAACATAATAAAAAAAAGTTGAAAAAAAAGAAAAGAAAAAAAGAGAAGCATATTAAATAGGTAAGGAGGAAATAATACCAATCTTGGACAGAGTCCCTTGAAAAATAGAGGAGGGAACTTTTCCCAGTTTATTTTTTGAGGCCACCATTTTCCTGTCACCAAGATTAGAAGAAGACATGAGAAAATAAAACTAACTATGGATTGATATACTGTATAAATGAAGACGGGAGAAAAATTCTTAACAAAATATTGGCAAGTCAAATCCAGCAATATATAAAAATGATAATACATAATGACCAAGTATTAAAGGTTGGTTTAACATTAAAAATCTATATAATTCATCATATTAACCAAATAAAGGAAAAGAACTATCTGGTCACCTGAGGTTATACAGTAAAATTATCTGAAAAAATTCAGCACTTGTCCATTACATACATAAATGAAGGATAGGGGAGATTCTCCTCAATGTGATAAAACATCTAAGAAAAACCTGCAGCTAATATCAAACTTAAATGTTAAAAGACTGGACACCTTCCTAAGAGCAAAGAAAGCAAGGGTGCTCTCTGCTCATCACTTCTAGTCAACACTGTGCTGAAGTTTGTAGGCTGTGCAGTTAAGAAAAGAAAAAGAAGTAAACGACATATACATTGTAAAGGAAGAAGAAAAGCTGTCTTCATTTGCAGATCACATACATATAAAAATCTAAAATAATTTATGAAAGAACTACTCAAACTATGTGAATTTAGCCAAGCTAGAGGACACAGCGTCAATAAACTAGTCATTTGTACTTTTATAGACGAGTAACAAAATGTAAAAACAAATTCAGTACTATCTACAATAACATACAAAAGCATGAAATGTTTCATAATAGATTAAAAAAAATATATGTGCAAGATCTGTCAACTGAAAACTACAAACTGAAAAACCAAAGATCTGCATGAATGGAGGCATCAATGATGTTCCTGGGTCAGAAGACGCAGTATTGTGAAGATGTCATTTCAACCCAGATTGAATATATTGATTCAGTATGGTCGTAATCAGAATTCTAGGAGGATATTTTTGTAGAAATTAGCAAGCTGAGATTCTAAGATTTAAATGGAAATGCAAAGGACTTAAAATAGCCGAAACGATTTGGAAAAGAAGAAGAGCGGAAGCATATCGTAAGCAGAATTCTAAGGTGGCCCCACAGTTGCATCCCATGTGGTGTAGGCCTGTTTAATCCCCTCCCCTTGAGTGTGGGAGGGGACCTGTGAATGTGATGGGACGTCACCCCCGGTTGGGTTACATTATATGGCGTAGGTGAAGGGGTTCCACCTATGGCTCCATCCAGGACTAAAGTAGCTTCGTGCTTGTGTGTGGAGTCCCAGACTAAATGTAAAACTGGTCCTCACCTTCAGAAACAGATACATCTTAACCACCTCACAGGTCAAGGGGTGTACACATTGATTGTGTGGTCAACCCTCTAGGTCAGACCCAGGAAGGAGGTCCACACAGGCCGTGAGGCATACTTGTGTCTTTTTGAAGAGGAAATTCCAGGATTATTGTTGCCCAGGATATGGTATAGAAAAGTAGGTGGAGGCTCTGGGTAAACCAGCCATTTGGCTGAGTGACTGCCTCACTCCATGTCGGGGGCAGAGGCTCGAGGTGGCTGGAGGACCTTCCAAAGCCAACGTCTCAGACTTTAATGTGGATATGAGTGACCCCAGGATCTTATTAAAAATGCAGAATCAGAACGTATCAGGACAGGACCTGGCATTCCACACATCTAACAAGCTCTCAGGTGACATGGGAGCTGCTGATCCTTGGGACTACATTTTGAGTCATGATGCTGTAAAGTTTGGCACCCGGGTCTGAGGGCAGGTAATATTGATACTCAGTACATTTGAAGTCTGTAGTGGAATGAATAAACCAAAGTTGTGAGTAATTTCAAATTACTCATTGCACTAATGATAGTTAACATTAAGCTAACAATGTTTTTTTTTCCTTCTTGTGCATTTATCAACTGAGTGAAAATAGTTTACTCAAAAGCAGGATAAATAACTGGAGACCCCAATCCAGGATTGAAACTATGTGTGTAATCTATGGTTGCCTCTTGTAATCATCTTTCAATATGCTTTATGAAACGAGAAATGTTCATAACATCTTAGGTTTTAAGGGTGAAGCATACTACACTTTTCATACTACAATTACCCATATCATAACTGACATACTTGGAAAAGGACTTTGGAACCCTTCTGATTACTAGCTTGTGCTGGGAGTTTTATGAAAAGAGGCATTAAAATATTTACTACTTTTATTAATAAAATGCGGGGGTATGGATGAATTACAAGATAAAATTGTTTCTGCTTAATATTCATCTGCATTTTATCGCTCTGTAGCATTTATTATGAGACGTAACTCTGCAGAGACTTTGATCTCTCTCTCTGGGCTAGTTGCCTTCTCCATGCCACATTTATTGACTATGTACACAAGCATTTGCGTTTTCTTTATAATTCTATCCTGAAGGTTAAGACCCTGGACCATCCGTTTCTTTATTTTATCTGAACTTCTGTCACCATTAGTTTGAAGAAAAGAGAAAAAATTGAGTACTATACTCTCTTTGGTTGGTTATGTTGCTGATGGGTCAAAATAAACCTTGGGAACCCAGATGAACATGTAAGTTATTCCAGGAGAATTAGGATTCTTCCTTTGTGTTTCATACACTCTGCTTTCAATGCAGGCAAAGCCCCTGCTTAGGCTATATAAATTAATACATTTGCAGGAAATGTGACTTCGGGACATTTTACATAGCAGTGATTTTAATGCTGTTAGTGGTGAAATGGAAACTTGAGAATGTGAAGATTAATTTAAACCACATGATGGGTTCAAGGAAAATACACTACAGTTTCTTGAATGTGTGCTGACTCTGTAGAGTGGGGAATGGGATCCAAAAAACCACCAGTGAACTTTTAAACCCTCTTGAGAGGATTCAAACCAACACAATTAGCCCTCGAAGGGAGCTGTTCCAAATGACAGACAGATCATTTCTCTCTCCCTCAGAAACAGATCCCTTTGCCTAAGAGAATGCAGTAGGGAGACCAAGGAAGGAAGAAGGACCCCACGCGTTACCACCAATGGAGTGAAGTTAGAAATCCCTTTCCAGTCATTCGCTGGTTTACTGATTCATCTTTCACTCTAGATTACAGTTCTGTTGGGTTTTTTGAACAATGGATAACCAACGCATTGTATATCGTGAATTTGAAATAAAGGATTTCTTTTCCCTTCCAGTTCGTGGTAGCGGTCTTCTGGATCATTTATGCCTATGACAGAGAGATGATTTACCCGAAGTTGCTTGATAATTTTATCCCAGGGTGGCTGAATCACGGAATGGTAAGTGGACTAAAACAAATAATTTCCTTTCATTAAAAAAAAAAAAATCTATTGAAGAGCTATTTTCTAATTCGGGCTTTCCACAGAATGTACCTAACTGGCTGTGCAATGAGGGAGATTATGAGAGATTGTAATTAGAGGAGAATACCGAATGTCAATAAAAACATCTTCCCATGAAACTGAGTCACTATTAAAACTATGTAGTAGATGAATCCACAGTTTACAAGGTGTCGGTGTTGTTGGATAATACAACTAGCTCATTGTATGAATGAATTTAATTTCTGTGCCATTCAAAGACTTGTCCCCTACTGGAGCCTAAGGACCTAGTCCCACCTGTACAACTATTGAGGCCCCATTGTTCCTCCACCTCACGTCAGGATATTGTGTTGGAAGTAACTACAGCACTGGGAGAATTGGCCCCAGAGGAGAAGCAAGACTGTTATTTTCCCTGGGAGATCTGCTGCAGGCATTGGAAGTGTCCTTGGCAGGGGGTGCCCATTGGAGGGCATTTGCCTGGGGCGCCCAGCTCTTTCCCTTCTTCTCAGTCTCATTCCTTCTGATGCTCTAGCCATGGTGTTGCCTTCCCATGTTTCAAATCAAATATTTTGGATGGTTTGCCTGTCACCTCACAAGACTTAAAGATATATTTTCTGCAGAGAAATTTTGAATTGTCTTCCCTGTCCACTTCTGGAATTGAGCACTTTTGTTATTAACTAAGAAGCCTGCATTTTTTTGGTTACAGCAATTTTTAGAATACATCACTGGGGGCTCCCCATGAAAGGGGTAACCCATCAGAGAAATTATAGGGGCACGAAGAGCTAGACCTCACACATCATATGTCCAAAATAAGTTTCCTTTCTACCCCCAATTTTGGTATATTTTGAGAAAAGTGGTGTGTACTAACAAACAAACATTACTGTACTGAGGGGCTTTGATTAATTCTTTCCTAAGCCAACACATCAAAAGTGGCACGGCTCAAACAACTGGCATTTTCTTTGAGTCCAATTAGAGCCACGCTGTTGAAGGATTAACATGGCACCTCTGGTCTAGTTCCAAACAAATAAGCTGGGTCTTGTCAGATTCATTTTACCATCTTTGGGGCTTGATGTGGCTACTCTGTGCCTCTCCAACTTTTGACTTTTCTTGAACGTGAAAAGCCTTTGCATAACCCTGTGTCCGCAATCTTCTACCCTTGATGCCCTTCCCATTCTTTACCGGGGAACCCCTGCTCACCCTACTAGCTTCTATAACATCTCTCAGAAGTCATGGAACACTACATCAAAAACTAATGATGTAATGTATGGTGATTAACATACATAATAAAAAATTAATTGATTAATTAATTAAAAAAAAAAAGAAGTCTCTCTTCACCCCCACAGGCCAGGTTAGCTCTCCTGTCAGGCTCGCAAAGCACCTTCAAATCTCCGTCAGACATGTGTGTATCCCTCACACAAGTGTTACTTCCTAGGGCAAACAGCAGACTTCCAGCCCCGAGCAGTCCGCCCACCCACCTGGCATGTAGTGGGATCAATGCCTATTTGTTAGATTGATGCATGAATTCAGTATACAGTCATCCCCCCACTCCCCGCCTTATCTGAGAGGGATCTGTTCCAAAATCCCCAGTGGATGCCTGAAACCGAGGACAGTACCATACTGTGTTTTTTCCTGTACATACATACCTATGATAAAGTTTAGCTTATAAATTAGGCCCAGTAAGAAATTAACAACGAGAGGAGGGCCTTCACTGGGAACCAGTGGTCGCATCATGCACTCTAGGAGTACAGACCTTAACTGTTTGGCCTGTCGTCGACATCCCTCAAATGCACAATATTACCCTTAGGCCAGAGAATAAATCACAACCTTAGCAGATGTAGGTGCTACTTAACGTTTCAAACGAATGGTTTCTAAGTACTGATGAAGCCATTAGAACGATAACTTGACTCTTAAGAATTTCCCCTGGATTCACTTTGATAGGATATAATTCTCACTCATGGAGACAAACACTACTTAGAAATTCAAGGAGAATTTGAGTGACACAGATATTTCGGAAAGGGAAAAGATAAATGAATCAACATGTCAAATCCTCTAAGATAATAAGAGCTCAATAGAGTCTTTCTTAATGAACTTTGTCCGTTAGTAGAGATGAATGACCATTTCTTTGGTTTTCTTCATGTTCCAGTTCGTGATTCCAGAATTACTAACAAAGAAGTTGCATATGGTGGCTGAGGAATATTTTGCAATATTAATTTACATTACTCTAAATTTGTATATATGTGACTTTAAATAGGATGTTGATTCTTTAGATTGGCCGTTAAAATATGAACACTAACTGCTGGAATCATGAATAATATAATTTTTATAAAAATGTGAAAAACTATTTATGAAATACTAATAAATCAGATAAGCATTTTCAACTTTAAATTTTATTTGAAAGTTTAATAATTATCATTTGTATTTTAATTTTAATAAATGATTTTCAATATTTAATTTTAAAAGTATGAAAATAATTCAACTAAAACTTTTTACATTCACTTGAATGTTCATATTTTGATGAAAACATTCAAATTGTGTATACTTTGATTATAATTACATTTTATTTTTAATTAATGCCTTAGATTAATACTATCAGTAGAGCTTAAATTTTTGGAAAATTTCCATTATAACAACATATTCAGTGAATTTGCTGAAATGAAGGCAAGAAAATAAAATTTTGGAATATTTATTTTGTAAT